CTATTTTGCATCCCTCATAAATAATTCATAATTTTTCAAAAGGTGTAAAAATTGGTCAAAATCGATGAAAACCATAGGCTATAGTCCATGCTTTGGCACCGAAAATGCCTCAAAATRACCTATTTTGTATCTCTTATAAATAATTTATAATTTTTCAAAAGGTGTAAAAATTGGTCAAAATCGATGAAAACCAKGGGCTATAGTCGATGCTTTTGGGCCAAAAATAACCCAAAATTACTTATTTTGTCTCCCTTATATTAATTAAAAAAAATTTGCGAAATTGTGAAAATTGACTGAAATTGATTGAAACCATGGGCTACAGTCCATGAATTTTTGCTAAAAATGGATGTAAGTGGCCTAGTTTGCGTCGCAATAAAGTAATTGGATGCATCACGCATAACGTCCGAATCATTTTTGGACCCAGAGGACCATGCGAACCTTGRCGCTTATCTTAAATACCCCAAACTAAGTGGAGGTGATGCTCCGTAACTCAACAAGTAATCCCTGACCTATACTAATACCTTGAATGGCTTTGCATTTTCGTTTTATTAGAAAGTACAAATCCGAGCCTCAATTTCTGGAAGAAGGCAAGCTTTACTTTATGAAAATCCTTTTCAAACAAGGCTGGGGGATTGAATTGATGGACATCGCAATCGAGCTTCCTAATGGGGTCACGGAAGCCCCAATGTCTCCAGACCACCTCAGAAGAGATGTTACAAGTATCGGTAATTATTAACTCGAGTTTGCTATAATAAAAATTAATACAAGGTAGGTTGCAATGGAAATAGGAAATGACGTCTCCCTCCTTGGGCATAGCCCACTGTTTACCCGTACTGCATTGAATGTGTGTGCCAATTTGCACAGGAAATAGACCTAATTAGCTTCGTGTGTAAATTGTGCCCATTTCAAACCATGTGATGATTACATGATTTTCTCGATAAGAAATGTTTTTTCCCCAAATGTTTTTTTATATCCACTTGAATATGTTCTTCATCAGATCTTCCGGGTAAAGACTGTGTAAAAGTTGGTGACCCGCTCTACCCTGACTATAAAAACTGTATTGACTTCACACAAAAAGACAAGGTAAAATGGATGGATGGATGGATGGATGGATGGATGGATGGATGGATGGATGGATGGATGGATGGATGGATGGATGGATGGATGGATGGTTGGATGATCTCTTTAATACCCAATGCAATTATATGTTTAGCTCGATGGAGTCAAGATGGTCCTGAAAGAGCTGCAGTCAAATATCGCCAACAC